GGGGCCGGTGCCACTGTTCCCCGTGTATGCGCTTGCCCTCATCCCCGTGGATGTCCCCATGGAGGTCCCTGTCCCCATCCCCGTGGGTGTCCCTGTCCCCAAGGTTGCCCCCGTCCGCATCCCCATGGAGGTCCCTGTCCCCATCCCCATGGGTGTCCCTGTCCCCAAGGTTGCCCCCGTCCCCATCCCCGTGGAGGTCTCCATCCCCATAGTGTTCTTCATGGATGTCCCCATCCCCATCCTCATCCTCATCCCCATGGATGTCCCTGTCCCCATGGTGTTCCTCACAGACGTCCTCACCCATCCCAACGGACGTCCCCATCTCCATGGAGGTCCCAGTCCCTGTCCCCATGGATGTTCCTCTGTCCCCGTCCCCATCCCCATGGGTGTCCCTGTCCCCAAGGTTGCCCCCATCCCCATTCCCATGGAGGTCCCCATCCCCACGGATGTCCCCATTCCCATGGAAGCCCCCATCCCTGGTGTGGGCTCTCAGGGAGCTGCTGGCCAGCGGGGCCTGACGCCCGCGGCCCCGGGTGCTCACCCCTTTGCCGTAGGGCTGGGTGAGCCAGCCCAGCTCCCCCTGCGCCTTGGCGAAGTCCAGCAGGACCACTGCGGGGAGAGGAGAGGGGACGTCAGTGGGGCGGGCGCGAAGCCTGGGAGATGCCACCAGGACCCGGGGATGACCCCAGGACATGCAGATGCCACCAATACACCCAGATGCCTCTTGGACCTGGGGATGTCCCTGGGACCCGGGGATGTCCCCCAGGACCCAAGGATGTCCCTAGGACCCAAGGATGCCCCCAGGATCCACAGATGCCCCCCAGGACCTACAGATGCCCCCCAGGACCCACGGACGTCTCCTGGGATCTGTGCATGTCCCTAGGATCCACGGATGTCCCCCAGGACCCATGGATGTCCCTAGGAGCCCCAGATGTCCCCCAGGACCTACAAACACCCCTGGGACCCCCCGGCTGCCCCTGGGACCCCCCCAAGAAGACCCCAGGGACCCCTCCCAAAAGAAGGGACACCGAGGCAGAGCTCCGTGCCGTGCCGAGGCCGGGCAGACCTGCTGTGGCACGCCGGCCGCCCCGGCGAGGGCGGTGGCCAAATCCAGCACCCGGGAGAGGAAGAGGAGGCCGCCGAGGGCCGGGAGGGGA